GCGGGTTCTCGGAGAATGGATTGGATCATGAGAGTTATAGTTTGTTGGGGAAGATTTTAGAGAGTGAAGAAGCTCTAGTACCGGATGTTGCTACTTTGGTGACTGTATTGCCTTTGTGTGCTGGGAACGGAGAAGTAAATATGGGGATGATGATTCATAGTTTGGCAGTGAAATTGGGGCTGAACCAGGAATTAATGGTGAATAATGCGTTGGCGGACATGTACTTGAAATGTGGGTACTCAGTTGAAGCTCAAGTTTTGTTTGACAAGAATGACAAGAAAAATGTGGTTTCTTGGAATTCCGTCATAGGAGGTTTTTCTAGAGAAGGGGATGTATGTGGCACATTTGATCTTTTGCGAAAAATGCAGATGGAAGAGGAGAAAGTGAAGGTGAATGAGGTCACCATACTGAACGTGTTACCGGCTTGTTTGGAGGAGTCGGAACTTTTGAGCTTGAAAGAACTTCATGCTTATTCATTCAGACATTGGTTTATATATGATGAACTGGTAGCCAATGCTTTTGTTGCAGCGTACACGAAATGTGGGTCACTAAATTCCGCTGAGCTTGTTTTTCATGGTATTGAGACGAAGACAGTGGGCTCCTGGAACGCAGTTATTGGTGGCTGTGCCCAAAATGGAGATCCATACAAAGCTTTAGATTTGTACCTTCAAATGAAATATTCAGGCTTGGATCCTGATGAATTTAGCATCGGTAGCCTCCTTTTAGCTTGTGCCCACCTGAAACATCTTCAACACGGGAGAGAGATTCATGGATTTGTGCTGCGAAATGGGTTAGAAATGGATTCATTCATTGGTATTTCATTACTATCCGTTTACATCCATTGCGGAAAATTATCATCTGCAAGAATATTATTTGATAGGACAGAATCAAAAATTAGTGTGTCTTGGAATGCAATGATTGCCGGTTACACTCAGGTTGGACTTCCTGACAAAGCCCTTGATCTCTTTCGCCAAATGCTGTCTGATGAAATCCTGCCTTGTGAAATTGCAACAATGAGCATGTTTGGGGCTTGTTCGCAACTGTCAGCTTTGCGTTCAGGAAAAGAGCTGCATTGTTTCGCTTTGAAAGCTCGCCTCACAGAAGACCTTTTTGTTGGTTGCTCTCTCATAGATATGTATGCAAAAAGTGGCTGCATCGAACAATCTCATAGAGTTTTTGACCGGTTAACCAAGAAGGATGTGCCTTCATGGAACGTTATAATTGCAGGATATGGAATTCATGGACATGGAAACAAGGCTTTAGAGCTCTTCAGAGAAATGCTAAGTTTTGGGCAGAAGCCTGATGGGTTTACGTTTATCGGAATTTTAACTGCATGTAGCCATGCCGGGTTGGTTAAGGAGGGGATAGAATATTTCAACCAGATGCAAAGCTTGTACAAAATAGAGCCGAAACTAGAGCATTATGCATGTGTGGTGGACATGCTTGGCCGGGCTGGCCGGTTGGAGGAAGCTTTAAACCTCATACATGAGATGCCGGAGGAGCCAGATACTAGAATGTGGAGCTCATTGCTTAGTTCCTGTAGGAGTCATAATAATTTGGACATGGGGCAGAAAATCGCCGAAAAATTGTTAGACTTAGAGCCTGAAAAGGCGGAGAACTACGTGCTGCTGTCTAACTTGTATGCCGCATCAGGTAAATGGGATAGTGTGAGAAACGTGCGGCGAAAGATGAAGGAGATTGGCCTTCAGAAAGATGCCGGACGCAGCTGGATTGAACTCGGAGGGCAAGTTTACAGCTTTGTTGTTGGTGACACATCTCTGCCAGAGTCCGGAGAGATCAAGAAAACGTGGGCAAGGCTAGAGGAAAAGATAAGTGAATTCGGATACAAACCCGACACAGGCTGTGTGCTTCATGAACTGGGAGAAGACGAGAAGGTTGAAATACTACGGGGACATAGCGAGAAGCTTGCGATTTCATTCGGTTTGTTGAAGACGAGTAGAAGTAGAACAACACTGAGAGTCTGCAAAAATCTGCGGATTTGTGTGGATTGCCACAATGCAGCTAAGCTGATATCGAAAGTTGTTGAAAGGGAGATAATTGTGAGAGATAATAAGCGCTTCCATCATTTCAAACATGGCCTTTGTTCTTGCGGAGATTATTGGTAAATCAGGAGGGAAACTGATTTCCGAATACATGAGAAGAAAAGAAGTTTGAGAAAATGGGTGTAGCGGAGATGAGAATGCTTCGTTGAATGTTTGGGGACACGAGAAATGACAGGGTTAAGAGCGGGGGTATCCGAGGTATAGTGGGAGTGGTCACAATTGAATATAACATGAGAGAAAATGGGTTAAGGTGGTTTGGACGTGTGAATTAAAGGCCTATAAATGCTCAAGTTATCAGAGCCGATGTGATAGAAGCTCAAGGCAAAAGGGATAGAATAAGACTTAGGAAGACTTGGAAAGAGGCTTTACGAAAAGACATGAAATACTTAGAGCTAACGGAGGACTTCGCACAAAACTAATGCGACTAGAATGACTCAAATTTTGGGTTATATTGATTCTTGTGAAAATCCTCAAAATTCATTGGAAAACGTGGGTTATAACTCACATTTGTGAAAAAAATAAAAAAAATGAAATTTTTAGTTTTGGGAAACGTTTTGCGTATGAGTTAACAATGTTGTAAGACATTTGAATGTGATCCTACTATTTATTAGGTCTCAGAACTATTTTTATTGATTTTAAAAGTTGAAAAAAAAAATAGAAAAATGATATAAACTAATATTTGGAATGTCCTAAATTAATTTATAAAACATGTGGTGTGACTAGAATGAGCCCAAATTTTGGTTTATAATGAATCTTGTAAAAGTTCTCAAATCGATTGGAAAACGTGGGTTATAACTCATAGTTTTTGGGAAAAATTTAAAATTTTTAGTTTTAGGAAATATTTTGTGTGGGAATTAATGAAAATGTTGCAAGACAATTGGATGTAATTTTGTCCCTTATTAGGGCTCGAAACCATTTTTCATTGATTTTTAAAGTTGAAAAATAGAAAAAATAATGAAAGCTAATAGCAGCCCCCAAAGAGATTTGTAGGTGTCCAAAATCTTGGAAATGTTCTAAATTGATCTTAGGAAACATATGGTGTGAGTAGAATGACTCTAAATTTGGCTTATAACGAATATTGTAAAAGTTCTCAAAATCAAGTGGAATATTGTGGGTTATAACTCACAGTTTCTGTTGAAGAATTAAATTTTTAGCTTTAGAAAATATTTTGCGTCGTAGTTGAGGAAATTATTGCAAGATCTTTGGAAGTGATCCTACCATCGCTTTTCGTGCATCAACCCGCCTCGTTTTTCGTGCACACTATGCATCGTTTTGCATGTCAATTTTCTTCGTGCATTGAGCTCGCCTCGTTTTGCATGGTAGAAGCCTGTCTCATTTTTTGTGCCTCATTTTTCATGCGTCGAGCCCACCTCATCTTGTGGGCTGAATTTTTCATGCATGAGCCCGCCTCGTTTCACATGCGCAGAAGGCTATCTCGTTTTCTGTGAGCGGAGCCCACCTCGATTTGCTTGCGCGGAGTGCGCCTCATTTTGCAAGCTTTTTTTTCGTGTGCCGAGACTGCCTCATTTAACATGACAGAAGCCCATCTGGTTTTCTGTTAGCGAAGCCTGTCTTATTTTATGTGTGCTCGGGTTTGCCTTGTTTTGCGTGCGAAGTCCGTCTCATTTGGCATGCCATTTTTTTCTACGTCGAGCCCGCCTTGTTATACGTGCATTGAGCCCTTGTTTTGTGTGCACAGAGCCCACCTTGTTTTTTCATAAATGGAGCACGCCTCGTTTTACGTGCGCCTGGTTATCTCATTATGCGTGCGCATAGTCTATCTCGTTTTGCATGCGTTGAGCCCTCCTTGTTTTGCTTGCACAGAGATCGGATCTTTATTCACCCACCGAACATAACTTTAGGAAAATATTTTGCATGAGAGTTAAGGAAAATGTAGCAAGACTCACAACTTTTTATGAAAAATTTGAAATTCTCACTGTTGTTGTTATATTGGTGCAGAAATGTTATCATAGCAAATTGAATCCGAAGTTGAAGGTCAATATTTGTAGACCTTGTTACATAACAGAAGAATATCTTTGAGATAGTATCATGCCTACATATAGAACAATTTTTCTATTCAACTTTCACGTTGTGTTATCAATTTATTTAAATTATAACACGTATATTAGTACCGTATTTTAGGTTCATAACATATACATGATGAGGAGTTTTCGAATTCGAATAAAAAGTGACAAACGAATTATTCTAATTGACTCGCCTAATCCACACAAGCTTACAAAGATAATTTATAGTTGGGATCTTTTGACATGGGTCCAAAGTAACTAAAAATTGGACCTATTTCGAAAGTCAAAAGTCACTAAAAATTGAACATATTTCAAAAATAGGCCTATAAAATTGGACCTATTTCAAATTTTCCGCTTATAGTTAAGGTTCCACACCATCAATTTTGACTTTTGTTTCAAAGTACATATTCAAGAGGACAAAACCTAATGACCCATCTCTTTTTAGGTTTTTTATGTTAAAATAAAACATACCAAAAAAACTCTTAAATTTGAACAACCAAGAAAAAGGAAATTTCTATATAAAGCAAAAGGTTATATTTTTAATAGTTTAAAGTGTTAAACGAGTATACAAGATGGTTTCAGAGCAAAAAAATGCTATTACCATTTACATCTCATTCGATTTAAAGGGTGTGGATCTTAATGGTTATCCATCCAGGAGGATCCTTCAATTATAACCGTTTATCATATATCATACAGTCAGAAATTATTGTGATTTTTTTTTTTTGAAATTGAATATAAACCGTACTTAACAAAAATTGGTCAAACAATTTACAATAAACAAATGTAATTGAAGGATACTTTTTCGTTATCCATATCCAAACAAATTTTCGACAACCTTGCTAAAATAATAAAATAATAAATAAATAGTAAATAAAAATAAAGAAAATGACTGCAGAGATTGAGAAGCAGAAAAACTTCGAAAGCCTCGATTTTTTTCACTCGTTATAGTTTGTTATCTGTTAGCTGTTAGCAGTAGCAGCAAAATAATTGTGGAAATGGCGAGTTTGCCGTCTCCGTCGTCTCCGGTGTCGCCATCCCCCTCTGCTTCCAGCTCTGACAACTCCGCCACTCAACCCATCTCTCACTCTCCTCCAAATCCACAGGTTTTTTTTCTCTCTTTCCTCATCTCTCTCTTTATATACATATATCTGTATATACACACACACACATACAGATGTATATATATATATGTAAACAAATGGTTTGTGTAATGATTTCTTATGGGTTTTTTCCATTTCGTATTTTAAATACGTTGAAGGTTGAAGCAGGAGTCAACAATGGAGCTCTCGATGCCGAGGAGAAGAAGCCTGGTATTATTTCTGCATATTTCGAGTGAGTACCTCTTTCCTTTCTTGTCCGATTTTTCGCTTCTTTTGTTTGTTTGAATATGTGAAAATTTCAACTTTACATGTTCATATTCATTGTTGAGGAATGTATTTTGCAATTAACATGCCAGTATTCCCTCTTTTTAGTAATTATTTTTCCATTTTTTTGGTATTTATTTTGCCCTGTAGATTCAATTTTAGTGATAAAGATGTAATTTTGCGTATCGGTGTGTATAATTTGTTCTGCTGGTTATTTGGCTTAAATTTGTAAGTTTGGTTTTTGGTAGCATTTCTTCACAGACTTCAATTATGCTTGTTTATGTGTTTGTCATTTATATTTTGCTGGGTGTGCGTGAATTCGTTTCCAGGTAAAAGAAAATAAAGAGCGAAATACTTAAACCGGTTTGGTTTATGAAATTTTAGTCCTTTTCCAATTTTTGAATGGTCTTGAGTTTCGAAATTGTAATAGATTGTATAGGGACAGCTCAAATCTCTGCAGAGAGAATATAAACCATGTTTTCGTGACAAATAATTGTGACCTAGAGATTGATCGATGAATGGATCCTGTGTGGATCATTTTGACATGATATTCTGTAATGCAATTGATCGATTTTAGTTATTTGTACAGTAGACTTGGTAGTTAGAGTGGTTTCTATTACTTTGAAAATTCAGTTGTGAAACTCGTCTCAGACTCTCTCATCTTCTGCCCTTTAGTATGCTCGCGTCTTTTAATGGTTTCCTGATTGAAACAAAGTAGTGCTACGTTCTATTTGTTTGATTTTCCATGAGTTACTTCTTCCCATTTTCTGAATTTAAATATCCCGGCCTTACACTAGCTTACACTTCTAAGCTCTAAGCCTTGCTCTCTCCTTAGCATCTGCACGCAAACAAGCGGAAATGGTAGTCTTTATCAGCCACAAGGCTCCGTAATTATAACTGTAGTAATGTAGGCAGTCCATAGTGGTTGAAATTTAGCCATCTGAAGTCTCTATCGACGGTATTAACCACTTCATTGTAAGAAGCTACTACAATACGTATCTTAAATTAGACTGAGGAGGTTCCTTTGTTTGCATAATGATACCCGAACATCCTCTGACCTCCGAAGCATCACATGTAGATGGCATCATTTACCTGTCTTCCCTTTTGTTAAAAATGTAGACTATATGTGAATTCCATCTAGAAGCTCACATGCCCATTACTTGGTGCTTTGTCTTTATTTCTTCTCCCTATAATCGTGAGTTCTTGGCATTGGTTATGGTTTGTGACGGGGTTTTTCATGAGCGCAAATTAGGTCTTTGTGTGATGCAGGAGCATCCGAAAGGCTTACTGATGCCTGGTTGATCTACCATTTATGAGCTCTGTTATCCAAAATGCATGTCACATATCAGTTTTAAGTATTTTTAAGGGCTAGGACTATCACGTATCAGGTTATTTTTATAACCAATGGTTGGGATGCTAGGTCTGTTGTAACCCGGATATGTTATTGTGAGTCCTTTTAATTAGTTTTTAACATAACACCCCATTGTTTTTGGATCACTCTTTCTCCTGCCCTAGACTTATAATTGTCATAGTTATAGTTTGCTCCTACCAATGCCTTCTTCATATTCGGCTCTCCTCTTGCTGCAGGCTTAGCGGAAAGTTTTCTGCTGCTGCCGGATATTAGCTACTATTAGCTACTCAGTTATATTCCATGCTTAAAATGACCCTTAACTTCTCTTGCATGTTATATCATGAATTTGAACCAGCGCCTAGCACCTGGATGATAAACTATGACCTTTGTTTGTGTTAGTGACCTCCATAGTGCGAGCCACAGAGAGAAGTTCAAGAAATATGATGCTGACTATAGCCGTTGGTTGACTGCAAAATACTTCTCAAAAACAAACCTATATGGAGGTGTGCAACGTTTTCTTAATTTATGATGCAGAATACATTTTAAGCATCATTCAAAATTTATTTTGCTTCGTTCTTGCAGGCGACATCTTTGATGAGAGTGTGACAATACATGATCAGGTTATAAAGTCAAGCAGGTACAGTATACTGAACCTTGTTGTTCTAACTGAATTTCTTATGCTATTTCCGAAGCTAATCATGTTTCGTTCCTCTATGTCTAGATGGCCTTGCACCCTCTCATATGCAGACCCGGTCCAGTTTCTTGAAGAACAGAACAGCTTTTCAACTTTTACTACTACAGCAGAAACCTCGCCTGGCATCTCAAACGGGAAGCACCTAGTAAAGAAGAGCGGTTGATGATAGGTTTTTTTTTCGATTTTCAGGGCCTATTTGTATCATATTGTATCATAAACAAATGTTCTGATGCACGCTAACAAGTGACTCGAGTACATGGACCCAAAAATTTTGAAAATCTCTAATCGAGTTGTTAAGAAGTTTCTTGTATCTATTGTCAATTTATGCCTTTTGCACCGAAAAGGGTCAGATATCTGCCATCTTGTTGATAAGATCGTACGGATGTAACGTAGAGTTGAGAATGAAAATCGATGACATTTACAGAATGATAACATCGTATGTATGCAGATCGCTGACAAATTACATCAGACCTCTTAAACTCATGTATCTTTGACCGTGTTTACTTGTAGAATGATAACATTGTATGCATCAACGCTGCTGCGCCCCTGTACTGGATGGAACAAAGCCGAATTCTCCATGGTCGGGATGCAATCATGGCGTGCTTGAATCTTCGGCTGTAAGCTGATTGCCATTTGTGTTAACGGTGACATCTCCCTCAATCCTCAGAGGTGCAATGAGATCGGCAAGGATGATTTGAAGGGAAGAGACTCTCTCCTTCAGCTGAGCATTCTCCTGGAGGATCTGTTGGTTGCCTTCTAACAGTTGGATGAGCTTCTCCGAGAGCTGGCGATTGGTAGAATGGAGCTGATCCACCTGATACTGCAGCTCTTCAATCTGCTTCTTCTTACGCATTCGCGACCTCCTTGCAGACTCCCTGTTGGATATCATTCTCTTGAGCTTTCTTTCGTAGTTCATGTCCCGCTCCCCTGCTTCACCGAAGGCGGCTTCGTTGCCAAGAGATGAGGTGTTTGCTGAGAAACCATGGGTTGGAACATGGATATGAGAGATGTGGAAGAATCGGGTCGGGTTGATCGGCATGGATTCTTTTAGCTCCATGAAGAAGAAGAATCTTTGGGTGACTAGGAGGTGCAGAGAGTAAAATTCAAAAGGGTTTGAGCAATTTTTTAGTGAGCTTCTAGCATCTATGTATACACAACATTTCTTGACCTTCACGTAATCAGAAATTAATTGAGATTAAGCTTCTCCTTGTCATATATTTTAAGAAGTTTAACATTTTTTTGTCTTTACACATTCATATCAACATCTGAAGGCAAGACCTGGACCTGGAAATTATGCCGATTTTCGGAAAGGCGTGTGAGATTATGGAAATATTAAGAGTGGCTGATCACCTTAATTTGCTCATGTTGATGTCTTAATGTTACATTACTTGCTTCCGACGTCTCGCCGGGAATGTGATTAACAGAGAAATTAGGATTTGCTAAAAATGTAAGGGGAAGGGTGAGTTCATGAAGACAAGTGAACTCATGAAATGGAAAGGTTTTTCTTGCAGACCGAAAGGATTTCAAGGTTTGTTCTTAAGTTCTTTTGGTTGCTTCTAGGTTTGATAGTATATTTATAAAGATATATTATATAGTAATATAAGTTAAGGTCACAATTCGGTATCGAACTTACAACAAATATAAATACAAATATAAATACACATGGTCTATACTATAGACCTTGTACACAAACCTTGAGTGTCGAACCTCAAACCTTGTGAGCCGTCGTGTTTTCCTTGTTATAGGTGGGTTAACCTAGTTGGGGTGACATATATATGCTAAGATAGATCCGAACTTGGTATCAAGCTCATATATTTCACCCTTGCATTCTTGTGAGCCGCACTTTCGACCTTTTTCTAATCAAGTAAAAACTGAATGTCGCTAGACCAACTGATCATGTGCAGGTTGTTTTTAAGATTTATTTATGTCATATATACCAATAATTTTGATTGAGAAAGCTCATACATAAAGTTTGACCTAATGAATTCCAATTGATTAAATATTGTCTTTTCCATGGTATTTAAGGATGCAAAGCTATGCCACTACAAAGGCACTATCTACGAAAATAACCCTAATTTGGAAACAAAGGGAATTTTGCGAAAAAACAGTTCTTTCACTAGTTTTTGTTCTTTCCTTTTTAAGGAACCAGCTAGTGGCTTCGTCACGGCAGTTCACAGTTCATCTTTTTGCAGGCTGGAAACACTCATGGGGCAGTTTAATCTTCCTATGACCACCATTGTATGATTCACCAGTGTTAAGAATCAAATCCAAAATATGCCATGTAAAATACAGATCTGGAATTCATCCTCAACTATTGGGCGTGGTTTCTTTCATGAGTTTAATTATGCACAAATGCGTGAAGTTATTAATAGGAAACCAACAAACGTTTCCGACAGAAACAGAAACAAACCAATGTGCAAATCATGGGCATCGCCATCCTCCTTTTGCTAAAATTGTTAGATTTATAAACAATTTTCATAAGATTTGTAGTTGAACACTTAATATAAATTCAAACTTAAACCAATGTATTGACTATCATTAACATCCGCTTAATCTACATAATCACCAACTCGCGTGCTTAAACGCTTTTACTAAAATTGGCAAGCGAGAAGATATAGAAGGGACGTAGAGAAATAAGATTCCGGAAGATAATTGGCTTCTTTCTTTGAATGTGTCCATTCTTGCTTATTACGAATTACAATTTGACACGTATGCCCAAATTTTTCGTTTTGTGTTTATAATGAGCTATTTTTTGCGTGAGAGATGGAAAACCAAAAGGTTTTTTAGCCAAAATGATTTATGAGGTTAGTATAACTCCTCACTTTGGTCCCTGACATTGAAAATCGATATAAGTGATCCATGAGTTTGTCTACTATAAATTATTTTGGTTATTACATTAAAAGTCTACATCCTCATAAGTGAAGGTGTTTGTTTGACAAATATACCCTTTAAAAGGTGATCACATGATCTTTTACATGACAATTTAATGAAGATATTGAGAGATTTTTCGGGAATGACTAAAATGATGTATGGTGGACAAACTCAGACACCACTTCTATTCATTGTAAGGGGTCAAAGTAAAGAGTTACGCTAATATCATGAACCATTTTAACTAAAAACTCAAAACAAAATAAATAGATAAAATTGGTTTATCCAATAATCTGATTTCTATGCCTGCAATGAAATATTGGATAGATGTCTTCACCACCAACTTTGCTTGGACATTCCTAAAATTGTCTTCCTATTGTTTTTTACTTTATTTTTTTTTGTTGATTAATTAATTTTGTTTTATTGTTTGTCTTAATTTTTTTTCTTGATTAATTAATTAATTTTGTTTGATTGTTTGTTTTGCATTTGGTGAACTGCTTGCTCACTTTTAACCTAAATATGCTTAACTTTCAATTAATAAAATGTACTTTTTCTTTTTCCAATCAAAGAAAAGTTAAAAAAACAGAAAAGAACAAGAGGTATCTACTGGATCCAATCAAACTGAGCTTACTGAGTAGGCGATTCAGACCGTTAAAATTTGATCCAACGGTTACAAACAAGAAAACCCTCTAAAAGTTATCATAATTGTAATCATTGAATCAAATTTCAACGGCCCGGATCACCTGCTCAACATATATGGATCCGGAGGGGATCCGGTTCGTATCTACCAGCCAAACCATGAACATTGTCCAAGTGTGCTTGCCCCTCTGCACTCAAGTTTAAATCTTCGCTCTCGTAATTTAAATGAATTTAACGTAAATTATCGCTCGTTTGTATTGTAAAAGAAAAAGAGCACACAACAAGTAAGAATACAAGACCAAAAAAGAGTACCCACCATAATATTATTACATATTTGCATGACAATCATCCTCCAACAAGAACAAGCATAACAAAAAATGTATAAGCTGATAGAAAAAATTAACATGACAGCCATGAAAAGTAATCTAACCATAAAACTTTTTCTGATACTCCCATCAAAACATAACAAAGCATCATGTACCACAGCAGTATCTACATTTTCGAAAACCTAATGCCGGAGAAAGATCTCAAAAGAGTGCCTGACCATTGTTCGACCCACGAGCAAGCCTTGGGTTCCTTCTACGCTCGTAGGTAGCGTCATCGGAGGGCAATTCATGTCGACAAACAGGACATGTGTTCCTTATGCGTAGCCACGGCACAATGCAGTCACCATGGTACCGATGCGTGCAAGGTAGCTGCTTTGCTTGTTCCCCCGATTTCATCTCATCCTTGCAAACAGCACAGACTGCATTACCCTTTTCCACATCCTCCTGAGTTAAAACTACGGATGGGAGACTTTCAACCACAGCGTTGGCAGCCGGAGGCCTGCCCGTTGTCGCATTCTCGTTCTCAGAGAATTGACCAAACAACATATCATATTCTGCAGTGTGAATATAGTCATCGTCGAGATAAGGCACAACATCTGGATTTATGTCCCAAGTATTGGAATTCAACAAAACCTCCCATTCCAAACTTTCCGAATGCTCATATCTCTCCACATTCACTTCCTCTTCCGGCGCCATCATTGCCGAAACTGAAACTGCCACCGGTCCTGATTCCTCATTGTCGGGAGCAATAAACATACTGAAGACCTCTCTCTCATCAACCCCTCCGTCAACTTCCTCCCACTCGAAATCTTCGTTACTTTCCCTATGGTCCTCCAAAATAAGCGAATCCCAACGCAGCGGGATGCTCGTATCAACATCATTCTCTCCATGGACATGATCCTCCGCGCCATACTCATCCCCGGAATTCAAATCAATCCCAATAACCCCGTTCTCATCGTCCTCCGAATCGGTCCCAACCTCAACCAGCCTCACGCAATTCTCGTAAGCATCATCATCAGCCCTACTTAAATTGGAAGTTTCCTCACCAAATTCAGACCTACAAACCCTCCTCCCCACGAAGAAATCCTCCTCCTCGGGATCATCAATCCCGTCCCCATCCAAACAATGCCCAAAATCCAATCCCGACCCTAACCCTAAACTCAAATCGAGGTCCAAACCCTCCATACCCACACCGCAATTCGACTCAATAACCCCAAAACTACGATCCTCCTCGTCAATATCTTCATAAACCAAAAGGGGACTGCGAGCGGTTACCTGAGACGACTGCTCGACCCGCTGCTGGAACAGATCCATGACGAAATTGACCTGGTTCTCGCGGCGGTTCAGCAAACCGGATGTGTCGGTCCGGTTGGATGCGGAATTGGGCTCCCCCGAGACGGCGTCGTTGCGGATGACGTGGACGGTGGATTGGTACTGGGAGAAGATGTCGCCGTCGGGGTCGTCGGATTCATCTTCGCGGACGGTGACGATGCGGGGAGCGCGGAGGGAGCGATCGGAGGACGGGAAATCGGGATCGGAGAAGTAGAGGTCGAGGTCGAAGTCGCGATGGGCGCGATAGGTGAGGTGGGGAGGCTCGTCGTCTGGGTCGCGGAGGTGGAAGAAGGTGACCTCCGCCATCGACATGTCGTTTTGGTTTTCTTTCGTCGTTTCTCTCTGGCTTTTGCGCTTCGATTTTCTGTGGGAGGAAATTGGGGGTTTTAAAGTTTGTGATCTGCCGACGGTGAAATGACGAGATCGCCCCTCATTTTTTCACCTTTTTTGTTTTCCGGAACGTGAGGGGGTGATGTGTTTGGCTGTTTGTCACTCACTGATTTCGCACATTCAATATTTGGAATTGAAAATTTCCAACTTAATAATTGACTGTAAATTAATCCTTTTGTTTTATGGACGATAGCGTTAGTGGATTTAAATATTTTCTTTTTGTTTTATAAATGATAGCGTTAGTTTATAACTTTATAATAATATGTTAATTCAGTTAATTTCGAAGAAGAAAATAAAGGTTAATCGAACAATAAGAAGTGAGATTGAATTCGAAACTCACTCTCGTTGTAGTTTACAATAATCTAGAATATCGTGTAAAAAATAAAATTTGATAGGAAGTGAGCTCAAAATTCTTTAAATTGAGTAGCATATAACGAGAGTACCTGACAATTTCTTGCACGATCCGTTAACTTAACACAAAAATAACATCCTTCGATTCAACCTGTTAACGAGTTAGGTCGGGTCATCGTTAAGAAACTCTTAACGAGTTGGGTTTATAAAATCACTCATTCATAACCTGATAAGATATTGTTTGTCATATTTAAACATTAGACATGATAATTTCTTGCATTGACCAGTTAACCTGACATGAAACATCACGACCCATTAACGAATTGAGTGGAAACCTATTAAGAACCCGTTAAGATAACGAGGTTACACAAAATCACTTATTAAGATAACAAGTACGACACAAAACAGAATGAAACACCATCTGTTTGACATGCCCACACGAGAAATTGTTAACTGTGAAGCTCATCATTTCAAATTTTCCTGAAATATTTGGTGCAATGCATTTAATTAACAATTTGAATCATGTGGTAAACAAGCAATTTTCTTTGGGCATGAACCGGATACTTTAATTTGCTTCTTCTTAGGCCCAATAGCCGAAGTAGTTTATGGTTTATTATTCAAAATAAAATAATAAATTAAAAACTAAAAGCTTTGATTTGTTAACATAATTACATAGCACACCAGCCAGAGAGAAAAAGGTAAGGGAAAAATAAAACTTCTGAGACAAGTTTTCTGGATCCTATTACTTTACTACTAATGCTAATCAAACTCTAAGCTCCTTGTAATTAGGGAATTAAGAGGAACTTAATCTACTTAATTAATTTCTTCATGAATGGATTAGATGCTCGACGGGGTGCTTCTGCCTTCTTCACTTTTTCTTGATCATTTGATACCTCAGACACTTCCCCTACCTTCTTCATCTCTCCTGCATTGTTGCTCACCTCTGTCGTTTTTACCTTCCCAACATCATCATCTGCCGTCGCAGTTTGTTTTTCGTCTGTTTTCTCTGTTCCAACTTTAGGTTCTTGCGTTTTCGCTTTCTTGGTAAACAAGGGAGCAGACAGTTTTGGTGTTGATAATGGAATGCCGTTTCCTGACAACTTACTTTGCTCGGTAGAGATCATTTTCTTTATGGGTGCAATGTCATCCGTGATGAAAGATGCGGTGCAGTTTGAGGAAGGGAAAGTGGTTTCCGCGGTTCTTTTACTCTCGTTGAGCAACCTTTCCTGTTAGAAGACATGAAAGATCATAAGGAACCGCACGGTGGAAGTGGAAACCGGATTGGTTTGCAATATGCAGACTCATGGTTTGGAATTTGAAACCTTACCTCCAGTATGCTGTTGAACCTTTCAGCCAAGTTAGGGAGCTTCAGAACGGTGACAAGTTTAATTGCACCCCTTACTGATTTTTCGAGGGACAGAAGCTTCACGAGTTCAATCGCTCTCACAAGCTTATCTCCTGAAATTGCCCCACGAGCAAGCATTTTAGCACTTAATAATTTTAATCAAGAACCAAGATTATACGATTCGGAGGCCAGATGCTGCAATAAATGTAAAAGACCCACCGTTGCAGCAGGACGCAATAAGCTTTAAGATGCATCTGTCTTGAGCTGCTTCTGTATTGAAAGCCTCATCGTCAAGTGAAGTGGTGTCCAAACCAGCAGCGCCCACTTCTTCTATTTGCTTTTGAATCTGTAAACATAGTGTAAGCGTCTGAGGCATTCACCAGCAGCAGGTAGAACAGGCATAAAGCAGGCAGTTCTTTTCTCAAACATGGAAACATAAACACTATGAGGTGAGCAGAGTGAAAGGACAAACCTGTACAAGGTGCGTGTTGTTTAGTATAAACTCATTTTCAAGGGCTTCTGCACCTAGATCAGAGGAAGCTAGAGGGAATGAAAAATTTAGCGGAGTGAGGACTGGCTTCGGCATCACCTGAAAAAAGTAGATGGTCAAGATAATATTAACACAGGAAACATCTGAGAGGAAGGAGGTGGCGAGCAGTCCTTACTTGCGGGTATAAGTCAGGACTTTTGCAAACTATACAAAACAATTTGCTTGCATTCAACCCAACCACCCAATAGTTTTCGTTTGACTTCTTCTCTTTGCTAGCACTGCATAATAGATTATTTGTTATAGATTCTTGTTTAGAGAAGCATTCCGTATATATTCTTTAGCAGAAGAATCTTGAACCTGAAGAGTGGGAGCCAACTGCCACCATATTGGCTTGTAAAAACTCTCATCGCTCCCTATGGAAAGGATAAAGAAAACAACTCATAGCCAATCTCAAAAGTGGTTTCTTTGTCATAGTAATCGAATAACTTGAAAATAGAGTGAACATACTTTGGAATCATAGGAGCTTAATTGCCCTTCTTCACTAAATCCAAACCATGTTAAATGTGAACCAGGAGTCAATGGCAGCCGTCCTCTAAGAGGCTCGCTCCCCTTAGTTATGTTGAGCACTCTAAATTCAAGCATCTGCATGTTTCAGAAGAAGAAAAAAAAAACAATTTTATATCAGCAATGAAAATGGTTTGAGATAACAAGTGCAAACCATCAGCCAGAAGGAGTGGAGGATAATTGATCAAATTTATTTAAAAACTTATGCACTTCTGGACTTATAAATCTACATATCTCAAATCAAGAGGGTGAATTCTGTAAGAAAAGCCCTAACATATCAGTGTACAAATATAATATTGATAATAACTTGAAAATCAGACCTGCTCATTTGAGGGGAGACAATCAGAAGCATGAGTGACAATCGCAAGCTCATCCTTGAAGCCTGATGCAGTCACGACAGGTCCATCAAGGGAGAGAACATGTTTCTGCAATGAAATGAATTCAGAAAAACAGAAATCTCCAGAAACTACGCTCACTACCGTCAACAATTTGGAGTAACTTAAAATCAAAAGTGCGATGCATTAACTAATTTACATAGTTAACCTCAATCACACCAACAAGTTCCTGGCCGTTTTACACTAAATATATGAAGGGTCATTGCTGAAGCAGTTCCTAGTGTACAATGTATTAAATTTGTAGAGAGATCACTGCTAAAGAGACAGCTATAAATAACTTAACAATCCCACTCCCCAAGAATAACTTAATTAACCTACAAGAGAAAAATGATTTGAAGTATATCAGCATACCTGCAAACCACTGTCAGTGAAAATGCGAAGGAAGTTAAGACTCGTAATTGCTGCCACCCAAGCTGTACCAAGTGCCACAACCTTCACTTCTTCCCCTTCCAATCGCATAGACCACTGGATTTGCATCACACATCAAAGTCAGCATATACAAAAGTTCTCATATTCATCATGTGTAGACAGTTAAATAATTCAAAGTGTGTGTGCATAACTTACCACACCAGAATACAGCATGAATACATCATTTTAAAAGGGAATAATCTAACCTCACTATTATTCGCCCAGCTACTGAATGGGCGATACATGAGAGTACTCATGTGCTTTTCGCCCTTGCACGGATTTGCAAAAACGCTTCCATTCTCATTAAGTGAAGCCATTGTAAAACCAAAATGATCATTCATTGATGGAACTCTTGGGCCTCGACTTGTATCATGAAAATCTATCTGCATCGCACACACTTAAATGTAAGTACAATGTAAAGGCACTCCTGGCTAACAAAAGCAACACTTACGAGTGAGAGTTTGGTGAGTTATGCCATAGGCTACCTCAATATGGGAGAACCCATCATGTTCAATTGTAGTTATGGAGCCAAGCATGTTATAGCACAGAAAGCGCCTTTTTCCTGGCTGCAAAGGAGTAGCACCAGGCTGGAATGACACCTGCATTTTGGATCTAATTGATGTCATTTTGCTGCTTACTCCCTCATTCTCATTATCAGCATTTTCACTGTGTTTACGCCGTGCTTTTTTACGGGACTCCGACTCAACATTTGGTATCAACCTAAAGCCATCAAAACCATCCTCTTCCAAATCATTCTCATATGCAGTGTGCTTGTGCGGCCTCTTCCTGCTAGGTGGCTTGGATTCCCCAATACTATCTTCACCAACATCACTTAAACTACCAGAAGTGCTAAGCTCCTGACCCTCTTCTTCGTCAAACAAAAGTAGCCCATTGCTGTTCTTAGACTGTAGATTGGGAACATCTTCAGTGGGAGACTTCATTGATGAAGGAGTCACCGAATCCCACACACCATACTTGCCCATACAATCAATAACAGCCAGTGCATTGCCAATCGGCTTCCACGCCAAGCAACATATTCTCTCATCAAAGTTCTGCCTGTCAATGTCCTGCTTCCGATCAACATCCCATATGAGAACCTGCTTATCCAAACCAGAAGTAGCCATGTATTTTCCGTTAGGCGACCAAGCCAAGGAACAAATAGGCTGCGTGTGATCACCTCTCAACGAAAATAGCTTTTCAGCTGTGTCTCTATCATAAACCACCACATCATTTCTCAACCCTGGCACGGCTAACTTGTCACCATCAGGACTCCAGCTAAGTACATTCATGATGGAGTGATCAAAACCCGAGTTAGGAGCTACCCCTTTAAGGGTATGCAACGTAGTCCCAGATGAAAGTTCCCAGTATATAACAGTCCCAGTGGAATCAATAGAGGCCAAGTATTCGCTGAGGGGATCGAAACCCAAGCCGGTC